GTGTCTGGCAAGGTTCAGCTGAAGGTTTCCAATCAAAGATTTGTGAACTCGTGTCTGGCAAACTCACTGTTCTACACATCTTATAACTTCATCTGCGCTTAACGAGTGTCTTTTGGTCCATAACTTTCATAACAACTGCTCCACAGAATGTCACTGATAACACGTAACGCAAAAGAGTATCGAAGTATGACTGCACAATTAATGTCACAAAATCTACCTATTCAGGAGCCCATTGTAAGCTGTTCCTTCGGGATTTTTTGTGTTTTACGTCATCCTAACCATTTCGTACTTGCGGACTCAAACAATAGAAACGTCATCATTACCTACCGATTCCTCGCGGCCCCTGTTCAAGCAAATCGAGATTTTTTTCTATATTGACTGTATGACTGTATATTTCAACTGTAAGTAATTTCCTTAATATACGCGCGAGTTACTATGGTGCCTCCTCGGGATTTCGCCTTCTGGACGAAATCCCTGCGGGGGCAATACGGTCATGTGCTATTTTTGAGAGGTTTAACCGGTTTGACAGGTTTTCTAGTCATTTTAAGTTCGATGAAGGTCTTGCTTTTTGTTTGGTTGACAAAAAGCTAAGAAGAGCATTTTATTTGTTGATTCATATTGTCGAAAGAATAAGCCCTTACTCGCCCGTGAGTCGTAACGTAATTATGCAAGTTCTATTTCCTGCCGCTTTCGTTGTCCAACAATATGTTCCACTTACGGTTCACTGATTCTTTGTTCGCAGATCGTGCATATTTAATGAGCACGAAGTCAAACTAGCTCTTGCTCTTTCTACCACGAAAAACAATTTTCCGCTTTCCCTCCACCACCACATTTCTAAACTAAAAACGCCAATGAAAATGCGAACTAAGAATAATCTCAACTACGTACAAATTTGTGCTAAATACCAATCTCTAAACTTTCACTTTGTAAAATCTTTGTGTTGTAGGTTTAAACGTCGGTCTCATCCAGTTCCTACCTGTAGTCTTGCTGAAGTTGATTAACGAGGATGGTTCTTTAAGCGGTGTATACAATGTCGAACCGTACATGGCAGGAGAGTTTGTCAAACTCACCAATAATTTAAACTTTGTAAGAAGAGTAGGCCCAGTGTCTGACCTCGTCCTGGCATTTGGTCATTTCTCCTACCAGGCTTCCAACGAGCAGTTGGTTATCGTAGACATTCAAGGTTGGACGCCATCAGCAGAGAATCAATCTCGTTGCACATTCCTCACTGATCCGCAGATCCATTCTGTGGATTGCGAATGTTATGGTGCAGGGAATCTGGGTCAAAATGGTTTTGACGCGTTTTGGCGTCATTTGCACCCAGAATGTAACGAAATCTGTAAAAAGCTACAGTTGGTCAGGCCAAACGCTAAACAGTGATATTGAACTTTAGAGTCCATGTCTACCAGTCTTTGTAAGGCGTTGCCGTTTAGAGTCTGAGTGTTCAAAGAGATAAAAGGTAAAATTATATTGAAACAATGAATAATCAGGCTTTTCTAGAGACCTGAAGGATAAGGAAACCTTCTATTAAAATTCTGGAATTTAGAACTCTTCTTTGAGAACGAGATAGACTGCGAAACTGTTTTCCCACAAAATCGGTTTTCTACTCACCCTCATGAGATTTTCGCGCGAAGTGAACGAGCCTCACAGGCGTGTGAGGCGAGAAAAAAAGGTTTTTTTTTTTTTTCACTTCCTCTCCCCAGTCTTACAGCTTGTTTTCATCCTCGTTTGGAGATTAGTGTTTGACTGCTCTTGCATTCTTGACCTACGCAAAAATACGGGCTGTTTTGCAGTCTATGAACCAGATAGGGATTTACTTTTATTTATTTTATTTTCTTTAGAAAGTTGAAGTTAAACAGTAAAAATATTAGTTTTACAAGCTTTTAGTCTGTGGAACCAGGCTAAGGGGATAGCTAGCAGAAAGTGATAATATAATTTATTATAAGGATATTTTAACATTATGTCGACTTTTAAAGCAATTAAGAAGGAAACAAAAGAGCAATAGTCAAAGAAAAATCAGTGCGTGAAGTTTAATAGTGACATGGTAGTAGAGGCGCACAACTGTAACTAGCAGAGTGATTTTCAAGTTCAGTGTTTTTAAAGGTCTTTTAATAGTCTGCACATTGATCAGAACTGATCAGAAGATCAGAATCAGAAGATGAGTAGGTACAATTAAAACATCTTCCCTCTAAGCGAATGTGTCAGAATGTCTGGGGCACCTCAGTAGGTGTTCCATGGTTTGTAACCCAATACCACATTGACAAATGATGTCGTTAGAGTTAATTCCCCTTAGCAGAGCCGGAGTAGCACCTCGTCACAGCTAAAACCATCCGGGGCTCTCCTCTATGCCTCTAGTAGTAGGGTGAAAACGTTAACTCGTTAAATTGGCATGCCGCCTATAAAAAGAGGCTTTAACAAATGTAAACTGCAGAAATAAAATTGTTTTCGAGACAAAGAATACTTCAATAAATAGAAAGAATTACTTGCCAAAATATTCATGATTTTAATCTTTTCTCTGCAACCCTTAAGTACAGGAATTTACTTCAAAATTGTAGTACTAAAATAAAATAGCTTGTGAATCATTAACATTCTTTCTCTTTTCGAGTAGCAGTGTTCTGTAGATCACTTGCGTTATAAATAGCTATTATACTTCCTTTTTTTCTTTGTCTTCACCGTACCTATGTGTGACGTAACTAGCCAATGAAATCATGTCTGTTTGACCAGTGACATTTGAGTCAGCGTACCAAACATTTGATTACTTTGGCAACTGGGCACCCAACGATTTTTTTCTTTAAAATAACTGTTCGAAAGAGCAAATATTGCCTAAAAATTTTTAAAGCTCGGCTAAACCTTTCTGGATAACCGTTCGCCATCTCTCGAAGACATTCGGAGTATTTCTGTTTTAAAGTATTTACGATTTTCTCGGATAAGACGAAAAAGCCCCCTAAAACTTTCGAGACGACCAAATCTCCCCAAGATATCCGAACAGATAAACAGTTTTCTCAAGGCAGCCCCAAATTAACCATAAAAGCTTCTAAAGCATAAAGTAAATGATCTGAGACAATTCTGACGTATTTGGAAACATTTTGATCGTTGGTTGCCCTGGAGCAATAGAAGTCTAAAATAATGACTTTCCTTTTCTCCAGAGTAATCACATCACAATCTATTTACTATGTCCTGTTATTTCTGTTGTAACTTTTCATATAATTTAACTGTTCCTCAATAAATATCTGTACAATCACATAGACTTTTCCTTGTAAAGAGCTGATGAGAAGTTTCAATACGAAACAGGTACATCTGTCCTGGAAGTTGACTTCTTGGTGGAACAGGGAACTTAAGCAACGACGACATGCAACGGCAACCAGAGCCGCAAAAAAGAGCAGGATAATGAAAACAACCATTTTGCTCATTTCGTTCATTTCCTTGCCGTCGTTGCACAAACACGACGTTAAAATTTCACGTTTTGTAGAGGACGTGAATACAAGGGAACGATTTTTTTTCTTTTTTAAAAATTTAGATACAGTTTATTAGATATCAACTCCAGAAAAATTACTAACATTTGACAAATCGAACGACATGGAATAAGCAGCACGAATTCACTTGTTGAGAGACGTTTCCCACTGTCGTCGTCGTCATTTCGGAGTTTAAGGTACCACAACGTACGGCGACGGCCACGAAAACGTCGCTTAAAAGAGAATTTGCGTTCTTTCAATCTCTTTCGCGATTACTCCAACTCATTTACTTTGTCAAACGCAAGCGAATTCTTTTTGAGCCGAATTCCTAAGAACCATATTCATAGCCGTCGCTTGTTTACGTCCTCCATAAAACGTAAAATTAGGCATTTTCCCGTCGTAGTCGTGCAGTGACGGCAAAGAAATGTACAAAAAAGCGTGATGCACGTGCAGAGTTGTTGTTTCGCCTATTCAACCTACTGCTATTTTGACGTTGTCGTTGCCGTCGTGGCATCTCAAAGTCCCTATTGCTTAATTGTCCTAATTATTGTTTGATCTAGAGATCTTGGTGGCCTCGATGAGTGAAAACAAAACACAGCAAAGCGTTCTTACATTATACACAATATAACTTATGACACCACATACTTAAACAATATTAAACCGCACTACCTTCTTTGATTTTATCTCTTAACTCTTAAAGCCTCATACAAAGTCTATTAGTGTTGTCCTTCCGGGTTTATGACGTCTTGACGTCTAATCTGCATTGCGTAAACATCGACTCTGTATAAGTCTGTATTTTCTTTATATTGCTTGCTCACATGTACTACGTTTTAGCTACAAAAATATGCAGAGAACACCACCGTGGTCAAACGTATGTGCATAATGAGATTTTACCTACTCTGAAGTATAAAAACACTAGCAAAGATATTTTAAATCATACGATGTGTTTTCATTCTTCGTAAAATGATGAGTTTCTGTTTCCGTTAAGAAAATTAACAGCATAATCATGATGCACAAGTATCAAAATTTTAACGGTGAAATAACAACTGTAGCTGCTTGAAGCACTTTGCTACGTTTGTTGTTGCAAATAGACCTTTCCCACATTACGTTCCAGTGAGCAAAAATAAAGAAATGAGGACGAGGCTCAGGTGGACAATTTCATACAAATTACTGTATTTTGTCCACCAGAGCCTCGCGTTGGTGCGTTTGTTTACAGGAATGCGGGAAGGGTCTATTGTTCCCGTTTGACAGCGGACAAACAAACGACAGCAGCCACCAACCATCATTTTCAATCTACTCCTCTAGCTCGGCCCAGGCTTCCTCAGCCATAACATAATACTTGTTTGCCATTTTGCCCTTCATAGAAGCGATTGCTAAATCGCCTGCTGCCGAGTACATCTCGCCAGCAGTTTGAGGATCCTTGTCCAGTCCGTACCCCCCTTGTTGATACAGGCGAGCTTGAGCAGCAGTCAGTGCATAGTTAGGATCGGTGTGTAGCGGATGTGGATCGCCATCCTCATCCACTATATCGATAGCTCTCTGATACCACTTGACTGCGTCCAGCCAGCTGCGTTCCCTGAAACACAAGATCATAATCACACGTTTCAGGTTTGTTAAAGCGCTCCAACAAGGAACCAAAGTTTGGGGCCATCTAAAGAGCAGATAACAATTCATACAGACGTCTAAACCCGAACTCGCCGGCTGTCGATATCTAAAATCAGATAGAAAACTTCAGTTAACTCTCTCTGACTGTAATGACACCTTCATAAGACGGACACCTAGATTTGGTCCCTCCTTTCTTCAGTCCTTGTGTTTGACTATCTACAACGCGGACACCTCTCTAATAAGACGCCTATATAGTCCCAGTCCCAATGATGTCAGTCTTAGAGAGAGTTAACTTAAGATTTCCATGTGATTTTCGAGGTCAATCGCCAAGTCTGAGAGGCCGCTATCGTGATTTTACATGGTGAGCAAAAACTGAGAAGAGTGAAAACTGCCAGTGATAACGGGAGGGGAGGGGAGAAGGCAGGGGGTGGGGGAGGGTTACATAGAACTCAGGACTAGTCATGAAGCGCAAATCATGGTAACAGTTAACTCTGAGTCTAAAACGGCTACTCCTTGGACAAGCACTATGTGTCCGTCTAGCCTCTTCCAGGCTCCGAGATAGTCGGGTCCGTTGAAATGAGAAAGAGCGAACACGGAAAAAAACAACGGAAGGAAACTACGAAGAGGAAGGGAGGCCTTCCTTTTTCCTTTTTCCCGCTCCGTAAACTTTTCGCGTGCCTTTAACTTCCGCGTCTTCCCCACTATCGGAGAGCCTGGAACACGCTAGTGTCCGTCTTAACAAGGTATCTGGCTTTTAGAGAATCAAGAGAAATGACCGAGCAACGCCAGAGACAAACCCTAGATGTCCATCTGGAGGTGTCCGTTAAAAGCACATTACCTCTGGGATCCCAATCCGTTTCCAGTTTCGTAGGCCTTCGCCATGTAAACCATGGCCTGTCTGTCTCCTAGTGTTGCTGCTTTTAGCATGTACTCTACTCCCCGGTTTGTTGCCTCGTCAGATTCCTGAAAAACGACACAAGCAGATCTTTTACACAAAAAGGACCAGTTTTAAAAGTTCCCGAATTTTACCTTTGACATTTTTGGAAAAAAAGTGGAATTGAAAATTTACCAAGCGAAAGAACTGTTCAGTAGTATTCGTTTAAGTGGTCACACTATGCGATTCCATCCACAGACTCAAGAGTTAGAACAACTGGTACAACATGTAATAAACAGTATCACAGGAAAGTACTGCACAGTAGCTTTTATTTGAGCGGTTACAATGTAGAATTTCATCCACAGACTCAAATCTTAGAACCACCTAGTTATAGCATAATAAACAGTACCATAGGATCATAGACTACTCAGTAGCTTTCATGTGAATGGTCACACTTTAGGATTTCATCCACACACTCAAATGTGAGAACCATCCTGTACAGCATAATAAACAGTAGCGCAGGAAGGGCTTTTATTTGAATGGTCACAATATAGTACCAGTGAAAGAGTTATGTTAATCACCTGCACAGTGACTGCAGCTAGCAAGTCATGAGGTAGCTGTAAATATATCTCAGCCATAGCTACTAAAGCTTGTAAGTCTCCACAAGCCGCTGACTGTTCCAAGTGAAACAAAGCGCAGTCCATTTGAGGCTCATTGTTAGTAAAGCGACCAATCTCATTACATTTGGCGAACTCCAGATGAACCTACCAAAAACAACAAATATTATTAAATACTCTATAGTGCTCATGTATAATATTTCTTCTTCTGGCCCGTTACAGTTGCTTTATGATAATTTTGGGTCCTATGCATTCACACAGGAACCATGGTTCTGAAACTGGGAGGGGTGGGTCCTGTTACCCACTGACAGACGTGGAGGGTGACTCGAGACGTTAATAGTACTATTAGTAAGAGTCGTCTCCGGACTAAGTCGACCGATCGACACTGATTAAGACCAAGGTACTCACCAATCAAAGCCCGCACTGAACACTGCTGCTTACCGAAGGGCTTGTGTCAAAACAGCCCCCTCCCTACCCCACTAGTTTTCACCCCAAAGCCTGATCCACCCACCCACTGTTAGGGCAGTCCCTGGACTATCCAGCTGTACCGACCAAGACGTCAAGCCGCCTACATTTTCGGGCACCGGGCTGGCCTGGAGCCGGGCTGCGCCCGGCGCCAGGCGAACACCCAGTGGCCACGTTTTAACGAAATCAGACATATATTTAACCACTTTCATGGCTTAAAAGCGGTGGCCTAGTCACACTGACCTGTCCAAGAATGGACACGCTTTTTTCTCTTTTCTGCTGCTCGGCTGCTTCCAGTTGTAATTTTTCAAGTAATGCAACCTCAGCAAACACGCTGGATGCCTTACGCATCATGCTTTCCGGAAATAACTCACGGACTTCTTCATCCTGAGGAAAACAAAAGTATATACAAATACGAGTTAAATGGCAATTTAATTCCTCGCCCTCTGTATTTGACTCTATCGTCTTAATCCTTTAGCGGCATAGTGACAGTGATTTCAGTCTCTAACACAAGCCACATAGAAAACCTGTAAACTCCGTGGTGTCTCCAATTAAATTCCGCCCAATTCCAATTTCAACACATCCACAACTATTCCGCCGGTAATTGTCCGTTTTGAACCGCATTCCCTGTACCACTTGTGACACCATCAGTTTTAACGGGCTTAAAGACACAAAATTAATACTTATATTGTGCAGGAGAAGTGATGTTTTAAAACATATGCAAATGAGCTACAGTCTGATACAAAAATAGTTGGGACACTTCCACCCAGCGCTGTTTTTTTCACTTCTGGCCCGTCTCCTCGTCCTCCCAATGTTGGTTATCGCAGTAAACTCACCTTATCTTGCACACCAGCATTGGGAGGGCAAGGAGAGAGCAAAGTGTCCCAACAATCTTGACTGACACTGCAGGTTCAGTCAACCTGCCAGAAAGAAACGTTGAAAAGGGAAAATCGAATGGCAATCTAATTCCACCACCCACCTGTACTGCATGTCTTTAAAATAATTTCAGAAACTATGGCTTTTCTTCCAACAAATTTCGCACCAAAATGATTCAAGTAAATGACTATCAAATGAAAATTAAACAAAAGCCGGGAAGAAAAGCGAAAGAATCAGAGAGAGAAAGCAAAAGGCCAATATCTAGGAAGCAGTGTCACTTTGGGTGCCTCCTGCGCGTGCCCGGAGTTAGACAGGGTTAGGTTAAGTAGCGTGGCATCGGGAACAAACGCCAGCATAGAACTCGACTTGTAAATACTGTTATGTTGGGGTAGTTTTGCCTGTTTTTGGCCAGAAAACAACTAGAAAATGGCTCGACTAACTAGCTTCAAACGGTATTTTCGGCGAAATCCTAATCGGGTTTAAGGTTCGCTTAATAGGCTCTTCCCCGACTCAGGATTTTCTATGACCTTTCTGTAGGGATACTAAGAATATCTCGCAGATCAGGCATTTCTGTTTAAGGTTGGCACTTAACTCAGGAAATAACTGACCTCGTTTTCAGTAAATACATCACTTTGATCACTTTCAGTCTCGGAGGAATCTGATTGTGAGTCGGAAAGCTGACGCGAGTACCCCGACAATAATCCGGACGAGGACGACAATGAGGATCGAGGGGAGTCTGGTTCCGAAATAGACGGAGATGGAGGAGGGGACTGGGCCAAGTACTCTGTCATGTCATAAATTGTGGAGGAGATCTTGCGGCCAGGAGATGTGCAAAGCTCACTATTTTTCAAGACAGTAGTGGACTCTTGAATGTTTCGAAGAGCTTGGTCAAGGCGATCAATTTCTTTAGGGCTAAGATCAAATGGAGACAGTCCAAGACTCTCGCAGATTCTGCAGAAAACAAACAAATAAACAAGCAACGTCCTATTAACTGTCAAGCACCAATGAGATGGCCCGTCAAAAAAAACAGTACCATGATTTAAGCAATACTAAAAGCTACGCCTCATTTCACTGTTGTTCGCACGTGTGCGTAACCATGTAAATGAAATGAAATGTAAGGCTCAAGTTTTGTGTATGGATTAAACTTGATGGTCTCTTTATGTCAGAACAACAAAAACACATAATTTCTGCAAATATCACTAATAAAGAAAAAGTGTTCAGTGCGGTCAAGTTGCTGAAAATAATAAAATGTTCCTTGTCTCCATCTCTATTCGCGACTCTAGAAACGAGAAGGGAATTCATTGCTGGAGACACACCGGTCAGCTATTGGCCAATTGTTTTCCCTTTCCATGGTAATAGTTCCAGAAGCGTGAAAGGTTTGAATCCTGCAGGAGTCATTTCAAAAGTAGGTTGAGTATGATCGTCCGGGTGAACGTAGTCCTGAATAGTGATGTTGACAGTGACTGACGTTTCGACAACCTGTGCGGTAGTTATCTTCAGAGTCAAAGTGAGTTGTATCTCGTCAGTTGATGGTATTTAACTCTGGTTATTGATTTGATTGGTCAATTAGGTCGCGATGTTATTGTTCGTCCGTCAGTTAAGCCGTATAATGTTATTGGCAATGAAGACTCGTAATGTCATTGGTGCGTTTCGATCCGTCAATTGTCACGGTTAAAACAGTCGTTTATTGTTAGTCAAATTGTCGGTTGTCCAGTCATTCTCTGATAGTTAGTTTTGCTTGAGTCCGTCAATAAGTCGTTTGTACGGTGCCGGTAACTGTTGACTACGATCCAGTGGCGTTTGTTCTAAGTTAATAAACCAACTTTCTAAAGTGAGTCGTTGATAGTAGTCCCAGAAGTCTTTGCGAAATTTACTCGTCCCAGTTTCCTTCTCGTTTCTTAAGTGGCGAATTTAGGGTGGGGCCCTGGCGCCTTGGCACGTGTGATGCACATGACCATTTACAGCCAATCGCTATCACACGACAAGGCATTGAACAAGTTCCTGTTTTGCGGAATAGAGTCAATAAAGACTGTGAGATACGGCCAAAAGTTTCCTCGCTGATTACTGCTAAAATAAAAACATGTTTTCAAGGACATAGAATGAATTACCTGTTACATTTATGGGAGCTGAAGAACAATGCCATGCCTCTTGGACCTAAGTTGGCATCTCCATACCCCTTGCCATCCGAAGTGTGAATCTGTGGGTCTGTGTACAAGTCACCAACTCCTGCAATAAAAATAAGCCAAACCTTCTATACATTTTTTCTATTAACATACGCTTATTATTATCTGATGAAGCTAATAAAATAGAACCTCTGAATATTGAAAGAGCATATCAATTTCAGTTATATCTGAAACTTTGAGCCCCATATAGCGAATAGTTTCGGGGAGATTCTCTTTGAAAAACTCACGAGAAATTCAGTTTTTGATTGCCTGTAGTTCCTTTGTTAATGATTCGAAGTGCTGAAGATTGCAAAAACTGCTCAAATCAACCAGCTCTTTCAACTTTTGAACATCATTTGCATACACGGCGACGTCTTCTATGGGTTAAATTGTATGCTAATGAGCAAAAATGTCAACAATGACGTCAGCAGGAATTCCCTATGACCTGATTTTCCAAGCCATGACAACAAATAATGTCTACCAGGCAACAACCTTAAGAAAGGGTTTAAATAAACTTATGGATTTTGATAAAACAAAATCGATAAGCAAATCTTGCTGTTTTAACTAAGAAAAATTTAACATTACAACAACATAGCAAAGAGAGAAGGAACTTGAGTTTTCCCGATATTTCGGACAGACAAGCCGTCCCTATTCAGGTGTCATTAAATCCCCTTATTAAAAAGAGGGACGGCTTGTCCTTCCGAAATAGCAGGTAAAACTCAAGCCGCTTTTGTCTTTGCTGTCTTGTTAATATTGTTTAAATTAATTTGTTTTAATAGGATAATTGCAATTCGAAGTCGTTTGTCACCAAGCCTATCTATAGGAAACAGATAACAAGCGATATTATTTATAACGTTTTGCAGACCGATCCCCTCTCCCATCGTTTTAACCAGTTTCTATCCTGTTTGTGTTGCATTCGATAGTCTATTTTCCACCTCCTTATTTCGTTTGTTTTACTTCCTCATTCTTTGCCTTTCGTCCGTCCGGGATAATCCTCTACTCACAATAATGATAATTCACCTCAAAAACGAGGTCTCCCCCATACAGGACATGTCCTTAAGAAGGACAATGAACTATCCAAGTACGACATTTTATTAATTCTAGACTTAATAACTCTCGGAAAAATCGAGACAAAATCAATGATGAACAGTTACGACTTTAAGATACAAGCAACAACAATTTGCCGTCCGTCCTCTTTCAATTCTAAAAACAAAAACTTTTTAAAATTAGACTCGGGAGCTCCGAAGAACAATCAGGGATGCCTTTACAGTCCAGTTTTGAAAAAAACCCCGCTGAATTTAAACGTTAACGACACATTCATACACGGTTAGGCTTGACATAGAGTAAAATATTCACAAATTCCAGCAAGTAAGTGTTTGAAATTTTAAAACTCACAGTAGAGAGAGTAATAAACAGGTCTTCTTCTTATGGAAATTTGTGACTATATGATGGAGGCTACGGCTGTAAAAATTGCTAATTTACATCTTTTATTCAGTGGCCATAACTCGAAACTGGACTATTGTAACACAAACAGTTTCAAAGAACCATTCCAACTTACCTTGAATGTCAACAACAATCAACTGATGTCCAGATCTCTCAAATGTAAAATGACTGAAAGCCTGTGAATGTCAAGTATGACCTTGAATGCTTGTACATATTGGCTTTTCTTGTACAGTATTCATGACAGAGACTTGTTGGAAGAATTGCACTAAACATGTTCTCATTTAAAGATGGACAACATTCGGACATGCACAAATTGGTCTTAGAGGTTGTCTGATGTAATATATGATCTTTGTTCCGTTTTTGGACTTCGAGCCGAATCTTTCTCAAATGACGTCCTAAACATAAAAAGTGCAGCTGGAAACCAATTGAAAACATGACAAGAAATCACACACATGGATAAAAAAACTTGATGTTTAAAAACGAAATTCTGTAGAACTATTTTGAGCAATGTAAAGGAATATTAACTACCATTTCAGCATGTAATATTCTCACTGCATACATCTATTACAAGGAACTAAGTTATGGGAGAAAAGCACCACTGCCAGAACAATATTATTGAGTTTAGGCTTTGTCAACAGCCATCAGAGGAGGTGGGAGGGACGAAACTTCACTTTCTCTCATCTTCACTTCACCAAGTCACTTCCACTGAACTTCGTTGAACTAGCCAAGAGGAGGGGCAAAGACTGCACATTTCTAAGCAAGGGTAGCCTGGCAGCATGCTCTCACTAGCTTGTCTGCAAGCTACAGTATCTAGTTCATTCTTCAGTGCAGCCACACATCATGTTACTAGTGCACAGCTTGACATGACGCAATTTAAAGGAGTTTTTCATCTCCCATGTTACAGGCAAATAGAACAATTGCGTGAAGACGTCATTTTACGACAACTACCAGAATCCTTCTGTTTGTTGTTTTCTTTGCAAATTAGGGCTATTGCTTTTTAAACTTCAGCAGGATTGAAAAATTTAAGTAGGTAACAGAAATGAGATGTATTCTGGTAGTTGACTAGTTAAATGTCATCAAGGTCAAAGTGGACTGAAATGTATGCAGTGAGAGTGCTGGACTTTGTGTGCCATCGTGCATGCAAGTTACCTGAGGAGTACATCGCAAAGTTTCATCTTGACGTACAAATCCAGAGTTTGAGTTGTACTTGATATACTTTCCTTCAATAAAATGTTCCAAATGAAACAAAGGTGAATCTTCCCTTTCCTTCATTTCAATCACATACACCTGGAAGATATCAACCTGCAGGTAAAGAAAACACAAAACACATAGGGTTGATGTGTTAAAATCATCTTAAGGCTTGTGAAACATTAAAAAGAATAATTTCCAAATTCCAGATCCAGATTTCAAAAAATTTATTCCTGGTATGGAGGATTTTGGCCAGGGTTCTCCTGAAGCTCTGGTGTGAGGTGAAAATTGGCGTTAAGTCGCCATAGAGGTGATGGCTACTAACAGAAAAAGAATTCTATTGCTGTTTGTTTCTGAAAACTTTGCTTGATAAAAACAAATATATGATATAAATTTAAGTATGACCAAAAGCTGAAATTATGTGACATACTGTAATGACCAAAATTCTTTCCCTGGGTAATCAATATGCACTGAAATACACCTTTCAAGGTCCCCAAAATTTAAATTGTATCAGGAGGAGCCCCTGGATCCCTCCCCACCCCACCACCCCCCCACCCTATGGAAGGGAGGCAAGCCCCAAACCCACATATAGATGTGCCTTTCAATCTGATCTGTTGCCTCCTACTTAAATTGTTTTTCTCCTTCTAAATGTGCTTTAAATTTTTTGGAAACTTTGATTTTGGTACAGTCCAGTATTTTGACATTCTAGAAGTCACATGATTATGAAAATAAAGCAAACCTTTTTAGGTGGGTTATATCTGTTATACTCTTCACCCCAAAGCTTTGCATCCATCTGTAGCCTGACGTCATCAAAGTAAACATTCCTAGGAACTTGTTCCATGTATCGCTTTGCAACATAATTAGCTGCATGCTTCCAGTTCATGTGCTTTGAGAAGTTCGATAACTTTTTCCTGTAACAAAATCATTTATTATATAAACACTAATGAAATACCAGGTGGAACCTTCACATGAAAACATGACATTTTCACACATGAACAGATCATTGTTGCTATGTTTACAAAATAAATTGCACCTCATTTGAGTTTATACTAAAATAGAACATTACAAGGCTACTTGAAGATACAAAATTTCTCTTCTTGTGTTGAAAAAATATTTTATAAGTGAGAGCAGCAAAGGAGTGAAATATTTTTCAACAAGAGAAGAGAAATTCATGTGTAGTGGTGCATATAAACACCTTGGGTTGAAACAGGAGGGGAGGAGGGGTGGGAATTGACACTTGCAAGCACCACAGCTGAGCAAGGTTAAGGGTTACTTTACTTTACTTTTTTTTGTTGATGTAAAAATAATCAACGACCAAGTTTGAAATCTACAGCTAGTCAGTAACTACGTAACTTTGTAGCAAAAAAGGTACTTTTGAAAACTTTTATTATGTGCATGCAATTGTCAGCTCAGTGAAAATGCTGCTGCTGCTGTACTGTTGTACTTACAGTCTGAAACACTCCCTCATGGCTCCTTGATCAAATGGCTAGAAATAAAAAAATAAATAAACACCACATATGTATCACTAAGTGTTTGACCAGCATGTAGATGCCACCAGGGGCGCGAAACCCTGACCTTGTTGTTTGGAAGGGAAGCGAAAGTAACCTTAAAGACAGCTACCCTGTGTCCTAACTGATTCTTATTCCTATTTGGAACATACAAGGTCATACAAGCAAAAACCACACCCCACCAGTCCAGGGGAAGTCCCCATTAAAGCAATGTGTAAGGAAGTTGCCCTCCCATTGGCTCTTACTTTGGATCAAGTGTCAGTAAAGGTGTACAAAATAGGCAACAATAAAGTAAAGTGGCCTTATTAGTAAATAATAATAAAATCTGAATCTCACCAAAAATTCCATTTTAATTCTCACTTCATCCTTTACCCAGCTTTTCTTAAGTGCATTATATCTGTGTCTTATGGCAACTTCTGTAGGACAAGAATCATCAATATGAAATTTCTCCCACGGATCAGGCAAGGACTGAGCCTTTCTTAAAGCATTCTTCCAACTAAGATGGTGGTGTAAATGCTTTGGATGACGACTTTTGCTACTTTCATTATTCTTTTTGTTGTTGGCTGAATCAGTATTTTCCAAATCATCAGCTTTATTGTTCTCACACTGTCCATTAATTTCCTCTGAAGTCAAAACATCATCTGTTAATGAGCCAATTTCTTCATTCCAATCCTGTGATATTTCATCAAAGCCTGACTCAGCTTCTTCACCATTACAGCCATTTTCTAATCCATCAGCCAAATCATAGTCAGTTTTACCACAATTCTCACGTCCATCTGCAGCCTGTGAAGATCCTTCTTGTAAATTATGAGGATCTGCATTTCCTGGGGTCAAAACAAAAAGTGCTGTGACATCTTAGTACCTGTGAATGCTGATCACTGCTACATTTCCATTTTTTTCATGTTGGATCTACAAATGTTCTGTGATAGAAATTTCCTTAGGACTTGAGTCATTAAGTGTTACTAAAATAAACAAATGAAAAGGAAAAGCATCAAGGAAAAGCATGGGGTTCAAAAACTTTCCCTCTTATCTTAACATCTCCAAAGCAATTTTCTCTTACAGAACTTCAATTTTTAATTAAAGCAAGGTCTTTCAATTTCAGAAAGCCACAGATTTGACTATTAACTACCCATTACCCTTAATAACAAAGGGTGTAACAAAAACCGGATTGACTAAGAAAACATGAAATAAATCCAATTTTAAAAATTTCCATGAAAATATGAATAAACGGGAATGTGGTTGTCACTGTTGAATGAACAACCTAAGTGGTTGATAAAGACCTGAAAAAAAATCATACCAGGAATCAAACTTTGACCTTTGTAATGACTGGACATGATGCTCTATCCATAGAGGTAATAAAGCCAACTGGAAATCTGGGCAATTATTGTGAGTTCATAATACACCCAATGATGGAACTGTGCACCCCTTACAAAGGTCAGGGTTAGATTCTCATTGAAGCCTGTCCAATTTGTTCTTGTCTTTATCAACCATCTGGAACCTTTTTTCTTCTGTAAAGATCACATTCTCACTTTCATAGAGAATGCATTTTCAGAAATCAGTAAGTAAATATAATAATAAATGATATGTGATAAACATATTTTAAAATAACAAAAAATTTCACAAGGAATGGGCTTTTTGCAACAGTTGATCACATGATCAACTTTTTCTTAACAAGGAAACAATGTATTTTGGAAAGATAATTTTAGCAGCAATAGAAAGAGTACATAAAAATAATTATTACTCAATGTGTAAATTTGTAGGCTTATATCTCAAAAGAAGCTATTGCTACAGCCTCTGAAAATTGGAAGGATTTGCATGGGAAGAACAGATCAGGTACCATCCTGTCATGGTTCAATGGAGGTAAACTTTGAAATTTTCAAACCTTCTTAACATCTCTCTATTACATATAACACAACTCAAATTGCCTTTTATGATTATGATTATTATTTTATGTTCTTCCTAGTCTTCCCTACAATGAAGCACCCTTTCCTTTTGAAAAAGGTCAAAAAAAGGAAATTAAACTGAGAGGCAAGGCCTTGTCATCTCATCTCCATACACTACAAAAGGTCTCTTCATTGAGTAGCACAGTGGCCTGAAAATCAGCATTACACTGTATAGTTAATTCAAAGATGCTATTTTCATTCCTGAAAATTATATTGCTCTATTTAAAGTTTTTTTCTTTTTAACTGGACAGATGACCAAATGCCCAGCAAAAGTCCTGTCATTTCTAAGACCATTACTTTATTCAAGGCAATGATCAAACAGTTTCAGTTTTACAGGCAACCTCCATCTACTGCTAACTCAGACAACTAAGTACCAGGGCTCCTGCAAGTTCAGAAGAGCCAACATCTGGAACACGCTTCCTCTGGCCCTGAGGAGCCAGCATGATTTAAATAAGTTTGGGTTTGACCTAAAAAGGAACTTTATGCATCAGTCAATTCTACCTGCACCCAGCCCCCACCCCCCCCTCCCATTTGCCCGCCTTGTCAGTCCTGGGGGTGGGGCATTTGCAAATTTTGCACTGCCAAGGGGCCGGGAATTTGCCAACCCAGGGCCATTCCCGAGCTTTTGACACGCACACGGTTTCCTATCAGAATATAACTACACAGATGGTTTTACTGGAAAAAAAGCAGATTGGCTCATCTGTCAAGGACAGGAATAAATTGATGAGGGTTGTAAAGGCATGTTCTCGATTTTATGCATGCACTTCTTCATTGCTTATCAAAATTGCAAAGCGAAATTGGAGCTATCGATGTGAATCAACGTTTTTCAAATTTCTGTTGAAGTATTTATTCAACTATTCATAACATATAACTTCACAGCGCTCTATTAATTTTAATGTAAATAACTTTATATCAATATTAAAACCATAAACTGGTGCATGTTATCGTTAGAATCGTTAGAATCCTAGCGCGTTGTAAGAATCCTAGCACTATTACAAAGGAAGACGTTAATTGAAACAAATAAAAGAGAACATTAAAATGGTTAAAATAGCGTTATTCGACCGTGTGATCAATGAAAATTGTTGCAGTGTTGACGGAGGACAGGCATTTGACGTCTTTTTTTGTCCCCACCCTGGGGGATTTGACAGCTCAAGAGTCCCCACCCCTCGGAAATTGCCATCCAAGGCAAAAAAGTGCCAATGCCCGGGGGTCAGCCCAGGGGGAGGGGGGGGGCTGGGCGCAGGTGGAATTGGCTGATGCATTAGATCCAAGCCAAATTGAGCCTCCAATACTTTCGCTATACTTAGTTGTTCCATTTTCTTTGATCTGTTATTGTTTTTTGTGTTGTTTTTTCTTTTCATCAAGGCCCCATTCAAACCAGCCTCACTGAACTGGGCACCTCTGACTAAAAATTGTTCAATATAAAATAAATAAATAAAAACCTCCCCTGCGTCCTCAAGAAATGCGCGATCATGATACGCAGCGCAAAACTATAAAGGAATCGCCTTCGCGAAAGTAACAGCTGTGTGTCTTGAAATTTTCTGTCCTTACAGCTGGTGAACTTGAACAGACGCGGAAGTAATAAAATAAATGACTATTCCTTTCATCATAAACAAAATTCCTTTTAGGTTTCCCTTTCGCAGTAATGTATAGAAAAATTTATATCGTTTTCTTTTGTTACTCATCAAAGCGATACTTTTAACTTACATACCACATAAGAAGTGAGTGTATGTTCGTCTTTGAGACCAGCTAAGTAAAGATACGTTATCAGTTTTAGTGCGCTGCCTTTTTTCAATGACAGGTGATACTGTTAACGGGGAAATTTGAAAGATTTTATCGGTTATACCGAAGATTTGAAGAGCATAAGGTAATTATTTTACCCAATATTTTTGACCGTAATTACAGGCCTATAAATTGTAAATAAACTAGGAAATTTACCTTCGCTTCTGGGTGAGTTTTCCATCGCAGTAGGGAAAAGAAATCTCAGTCTTCATAAAAGACAGTGAAAGACAGAAAGACTGAAAAAAAGACCCGGAGATAAAACAATTCAACACATACAGCTCACCATATTTACAAAGTGCTCTCGAGGTCTTATACTTGGGGGAATTACAACTATGCATACACAAAGACAATTTTTTAAAGTTAAATCCGCTGGTCACATTGTGTGTTCTTTCATAAACAATATTTATTGAGCCGGCAGCGGCCAATTTATTGTTTTTCTCTCCGTTTTCAAGCCTCTACTCTTCGTTGAGTTCTTAGCAAGTGTAGATCTCTCGGTCTTCACTTAATACTCGAAACAACGACGAGAACAGCTGTTGAGGAGCAGACTGGACAGTCTTTATATCTTGCAGTGTAAAGGTGCTGTCACTTGCGGGAATTTTTCATTCGCGCTACACGTGTCTGATCAGTTACATACATATCACATCTAATGAAAGGTCTTGAAATTGGTTTAATCTCCATAGAACTTTGAAAAGAAGAATGACGAAATCAAAGCTTTATACCTTGGCTTTTATTCGAAATGGAAACAACATTCTTCTGGGGATGAAGAAGAGAGGGTTTGGGGCTGGTAGGTGGAACGGTTTTGGCGGGAAAGTGGACGCTGACGAAACAATTTTGCAAGCTGCTAAAAGGTAAAGCTGCCAATCGTTTTCAACCCTTAGTCTTCTTTTTGCTTTAAAAACTTTTTAATCTTGCTATGATCTTTCTTCGCTATGATTAGTCTTCTATTTTTCTTCGCAATTGTTCAGAGGCAACGCATGTGAGCGCGCGTGGTCACATCCCAAACACATCCGGCGAGGAAACGCGACGGGCACTGCTTACACCATTCCTTGGGGGTCATTCCTTACAATCTATCTCCCAGCGCGGGACAGGATGGGAGCTAGCGGGATATCAATCATCATATAAGCTATATGGGCATGTACTGCTGTCAAGGCAGAACCACAGCCAAAAGGCCAAAACAGGTCAAATTAGCTTATTGGCCCTATATAACCTAAGGAGGAAAACAGAGACATTAGAATAAGGATGGAAGTTGGGGAGAGTTGAAAACACTGACCTGCGGTCTCCAGACTACCCACTGACCCCCACTCCAAAGACTACCCTAAGGACTACCCTAAAAAATCAACCAAATTCACTTTTGCAAAGGAAATAAATAGAACAAACCTACCTCCACTGTGCTTCCTACAGATCCATAAACAGCCACCATCCTGCTTTTCGCCTGTTTCATTGACCCAGTCTTTTTTTTTTGTCCTGCTCCATTCTTTTTTGGCTACCAGCCAGCATGCTGTTAGTTGTACAGCATCAAAAAAAGTGTTGAAAGATTGGGTTCTTGAAAACAAAGACTACTACATGTAGGACCTCCAACAGAATGACTTTGAACTTTATTGATTAGAGGAAACTGAGTGAATCAGGTTCCATTTAGGTCATTATACTGGGAAACCTGACCTGAAAGAATTGATTCACTCAGTTTCCTAACCCTAATCTTAAGGGGTCTTAAAGATCTTTGTTTTCAAGATGGAACTCTGGGTTCTGCGCTTTCACGTAGTTTACACCTGCATGATGAATGACATCAGCAACCCAGTCTGCTGTCTTTTGTGAAATACCTGCCAACTGATGGTAATTCAAATTTCATAAAATCAGTCAATGGATGTGAAAAGAAAATTACGCTAATACCAAAACCCCAGGGCAGGAGACAGCCAAATTTGGAAGTAGCCATCTCGCCCATAAGCCCTGGCCTCAATCTCCTATGTTTAGAATTGACATATATTGGGCATGAAGTTAGGTTGCAATAAGAAAGACTGGGTCCAGGAAAAAGTAAGATGTCGACTGTTTATTGCGTAGCAACACCGGTAGGTTTGTTGTATCTCTTTCCCCCATAAAAACTGAATTTGGTTGAAATTTTAGGGTAGTCCTTCATGGGGTTGTTCGCAGAGTTTTCCATAGGGTAGTCCGCTGAGTGGGGTTCAGTGGTAGTCCGCGGACCAGGGTCAGTGTTTTCAACTCACCCTTGAAGTTGAATGGGTTGGAGGAAACATTTTTAACACAAAAATGGCAAAGAGATCCATACAAATGCACAGGACGTCAACACACTGACAATGTGTTCAATCAGTTACTTAGTGTAACTGTTTCGACTTTAATAATGCTAGAAATTTTTCTTAATTATGAATAAAATTCAGTCCTAAATTTTACCATCTAAAATATAACAATTGAACTTCAATGATTTCAAAAATTTTGGCTTTTAATTAACACTCGAGGGAAAGCATGGCAAATGATTATCATATTATGGATATACATGTATTGTTTTGATTGGGCTGAGATAAAAAGTTGTCTCTGGTTAACATGCATGTAGGCTACAAGTAGGAGAGAATTTTATTTTTATTAAGCAGCTACCCTTTGTTAAGCAGCCAGTAATCAAAGTCCTAAAATAATAATTGTAGAAAAGAATAGTAAATTACACCTCTGTTAAGCAGCCACCTCTATTAGCAAGTGGCCATGGCCTCTTTTTGGCCATTTGATGACAGTTCTACTTATTCTGTCACCTTTATTAAGCAGCCGTTAAGTATGTGATACACATAATTTAGCTTCAATTTAAAATATGATGAAGGAAAATACAGTCAGAGATAGAAGATGATGACTGATTGTGGAGAGATAATGTACTTCTGTCTCTTAGTGATATTTCTGGTAAAGATAATGCTAATTTATGACAAACCTCAATTGAGTGGCCAACCTCCATTGACTGGCCTCCTGCCAAGGGTGGCCACTTAATGGGGGGTCAACAATATTACATTATTTTAAAAACAGCAAAATCTGAGTTGGTGAGCAAATGGGGGAGAAGTAAATTGCATTAGAAATTTTTTTAAACATGAAATAAGGTTATTGGTGCCATTTTAATGCGATTCTGTGGATGTTATCTTTGTTTGTTTACAGGGAATTGTGGGAAGAGTCAGGTCTGACAGTAGACGAACTCCAAGAGGCTGGAATTTTAAAGTTTGAATTTGTTGGTGAACCTCAAATAATGGAGGTTCATGTTTTCACCACTAGTATTTTCAAAGGAACACCGGCTGAATCTGATGGTAATCAAGTTTAACATAGTTTACAAGAATGGCATACCTTGTTCCCATTCAAAGTGAAACAAGCAATGAAGAGTGTTACAACAATGCATTAAACCCCTCATGACTACTGACCAGTCAACTAGGAGGTACCCATCCCTTTCCCCTGGTCTACTCTCATCTAGATCTGAAATGGTGTCATTCATTTGGCACTGTATTAGTTTCAGTTGTCAAACCTGACGTATTTTTAGGGCAATCTTTTCTTATCTTTTGTGGTTTGAGCTGAACATTTAGAAAATTTTAGAAAATGGGCAACCTTGTTAAACAAAATTTGCTAACCCTGAGTCTAAAACTATCAAGACAGCCAAGCCAATTGACTACTATTAGAAAAAATCATGCAGTTGCCATCTGTTTGGCTCAGTTTGTTGGGTACCTGAGTGAAGTGATGTAGGTTCAGTTTATATCTTGATCCTCCAAAGGCCCCATCTCACAGCCCGTTTACTGGAGTGAATCTCTTGGGATGCAAAATAACCACTAAGGATGTATCCATCTGTCCAGTGATCTATCACCGGGGAGACTTAACCTGAAGCTAAGCTCTGCTTTGTTGACCTTACCCCTTTTAAGTGTTTTATAATGTATATAAACACAGAACAATGTTAATTTTTTTTTCTTTAGAAATGAGGCCCAAATGGTTTTCTTTATCAGAGGTGCCATTCAGTGACATGTGGCCAGATGACCCTCTATGGTTTCCATTGATGTTGAATGGGCAGAAGTTCTCTGGATATTTTAAGTTTAAAGGACACTCAGAAATCCTTGATTACACCCTTGAGCCCTCATGTGCAGTTTGATGTTTTTGTAAAAAATTGTTTTTGAGAGTTACATTGTAATGTCATGACACATCTTATTACCAGTTTCTACCCCTGTAGTTTCACCCTGAGCTTTGACTGAGCTTTTCTCGTTTAAGTAACTATAGTCAGCTCTTTTTAACGAGTGCCCACCTTTAAAAATGTCTGCATTTTATAAAGTAAAACAAATGAATGAAGAACACCAGAGACCCACTCTAGGGGTTCATTTTATAGGGTTTGTACAGTTTTGAATTCTTGATAAAGTCTTAAATTTTTTGGCCGACCAATTAAATGTTTAGATGTTTTTTGCTTTAGTACATGTAATTGTCTGGGATCCCCACCCCTGGCTGATACATCAACTTTCATTTCCTTGGTCTTCCTTTTTCGTACCACAGTGGGAACATGGTTGCGCCACCATAAGGCCCATGGAAAGGTGGTTATCACTAGGAAAGTGAGTGCACGTAGGTCTGAATATCAGGTTCAGCTATTCACAGTTAAGGTGTTATGAAAGGCTAAAATGCTTCAAAAAACGAGCATTTTTGATAACTTTCCGCTAGTTTGGTGAAAAAACCATGTAATTTTCCTGTAGATTCAATAACTGAGATCATAATGAGCAAATTGCTAACTGGAAATGTCTGTAATTTGATGCTCTTTAAGGAAGCTTCAAAACAGTTTTTTTCATCAATTTTAGCTTTGAGTTGTATTATTTATCTCATATGTTAGGAATAGGAAAATGATATATTTGTGACTTAGCCCCAGTGAAAGAGCAAAATCTGCCCCAATAAATGAGGTGTTCCGAACTATGTGTTTTCATATGCTTCTGTCGTAATTGTTCTTTCTTTTGTAACAATCACATGTCACAGGTACGCCAGATATGATGGAACATCGTAAAAGTTTGCGCCTATAGACTAATTTCAATATACTACAAATTTTGATTTAAAAAAAAGTTGTTTTGAATATGACAGTGGCGTTCCCGAAGCTTCTTAATGACGTCACCCTGACATAATTGGCGAGATAACGAGGCTCAGCCATTGCCTCACAGCTTATTCTCAGTTTCACCAATGTTTTCTTAGATGGGTTCTTTATTGTTAGATCAAGGTAGGCAGGGGGGCTATAATTCGTTTTGATTTTGTAATAAAAGTTAAGTCAAGTTAGGAGAGTGTTTAGTAGAAATTTCTTTGAGTGTCTGCAACCTGAGATTAGTTCATTTCTATTGTTCAGGGTAGACATTACAGGTTTACAAATTATAAACGTTAATTCTGATGATATCGATAATCAAGTTTCTTAGAAACCACAACAACAAGGCCCCACAAAAAATAATTATATGCAGAGAATTCCCTGGTCCAATTGACAGGCGTTCGAAAGAAAAGTAAAAAGGCGCATTACTGTGAACGCGCTGGCACGCAAAGGACTCGCTAGGGAAGGAGAAGGAAGGCGAACGCCACGTCGTAACTCCGTCGCCAAACGTAGGCTAAAAAGTCAACTTAGGCGAATTTTTGCTGAATTGCTTGGTTCTTATCAGTGTGGGCTCTGTACACAAGAAGGAAAAGCCATGTTCATCACGTGCTTCGTTTTATGTCGCCCTCTCTACATAACCGGTAAAAGTGTGTCGATCAGAACCTCTGGCAAAAACGAAGCGACACCGTAATAAGTAGCTTAGGCGAGGGCTCATGTTGTCAATAAGGCCACCATTTATAACCCTTTTTTAAATTTCTGAACAATACAGGAGAAAAACAAAAAACTTCGACCCCGCCAGGATTCGAACCTGGAATCTCCTGATTCGTAGTCAGATGCCTTATCCGTTGGGCCACGGGGCCTTCCGTAATGGACGGGTCGGTTTTCAATCCCAAGTAACACACTCTGGTTGGATATTACACTTTTTGCTCCTCATTAAAAGAAAATATAAAGTTATTTTATTTTCCAGGAATTCAATAACATCTTAGGAAGAACATATCCACAAATTAATCTTCATTTTAATCATCTGTCGTTTCATTTGCGCAATTACCATGATGCTAATGCATCTTCAATAACACCACTGGAATGTCGTTTTCTTTATTTTACAGTGTATTATGTCTTTGAAAAACATGTACAACAATAACAGGTATTAAAAAGGTATTTCAGTAGGTATATACAGTATGATAGATGTTTTTAAAGGCACTAAGATTGCATGTTGTCACGCTTACGGCAAACGTCAGATTCAAGTTCAGAGTTATCAAAATGGAAAATGAGGAGATAAAGACGCTTCAAAACAATTCTTATGGATAAAACTGGCGTGAAAATGCTATTTTTTGGTAGAACTAATTGACGAAAAAAATGGGAAACTTTGGTCACGTGGTACAAATTCACGTTTCCCGCCAAATCTCTCTAATGACCAGCCTGCGAACGCAGACCGCGTATTTTCGCAAAATACGTCTGCGTTTGCAGGCTAACATTGACCAACACTATCCAAAAAAATGCCTTTATAGGGGTAACATCATTCAATATTTGCAAGTTGCAGAAAAAAAAATAAAGGAAATAATGAAAATCGCGGGAGTTCTTCATTCCACTATAATTAAAGCACAAAATCACTTTTTATCTCAAAAAGGTTATGAGTTGTTTCAAATAAAGCTGACGAAAGAACCAAGTGTAAAAAGTGCGACCCGCCAGGACTCGAACCTGGAATCTTCTGATCCGAAGTCAGACGCCTTATCCATTAGGCCACGAGGCCCACATAGTATACAAAGAATTCTACTGCTATTTCACAATCAACTGTATTACAAATATGCATTGTAATATTGTTATTTTGTGTTTACATTTAAATAAAGAACGTGACTCTCGAGATTTTTATTCTTTTCTCTTCCCTTTTTTCTGCACCTTGCAAATATTCTCATTGTAAAAGGTATTGGATTGATGTTTCCCCTGAAGCAACTTTGTTTGGATAGTATTAATGTTGTTTGTTAATTGTACAGCATTCAATCTTCGTGGCTTTAAAAATATCTGTCGTAACTTCAGTGTCGCAACTAAAACAACATCCAACCAAAGTCAATACTATCAGAGGAGACAAGTTAATTAAAATTAAAAACCCAATCAGCTATAACAGGCCCCGTGGCCCAACGGATAAGGCATCTGACTACGAATCAGGGGATTCCAGGTTCGAATCCTGGCGGGGTCGAAGTTTTATATTTTTTTCCTGTGTTTTAAAAAAAGCTGCTACTTTAACAGTTAAAAAAAATTGGTTATAAGTGGTGCTCTTTGACGACATGATCCAGTGCCTACTTATACTATCATGTCGTCTTTTTCTTTTTTGCCGGACCTTCTGATCGACCAGTTATGTAGGGAGGGCGACATATGAACGAAGCACTTGATGGACATGGCTTCTCCTTCCTGTGTACAGAGCCCACACTGATAAGAACCAAGCATGCAATTCAGCGAAAATTCGCCCAAGTTGAATGGACTTAATCTTAATCCTTCATCAGAGAATTCTTAGCCTACGTTGGTGGCACGAGCTTGGACGTGGTTTTCCCCTTCATTCTTCTTCCCTAGTGATCCCTTCGCCTTCAATCGCGTCCAAAGGTTTTTCGCCCCCTTTTCCTTTTTTTTCGGATTCCTGTCAATTATTCGAGAGGCGACTTGTTGTTGGGGCATCTCGGAAACTTGACATGATCGACCTCAAACTGAATTAGAGCAAGGTAGTGTCTCTCATCTTAATTAATTTTCCATCCATCACTGACTAGCAAAGTCTTAAATCAATATCACTGATGTAAATATTTGACTTATTTTGTCGACATTAAACTGAAGAAATAACTTCAGAGCGGAGGCAATAGAAGAATTCAGTTTCACCAATCTTTTCCTAGAAGGGTTCTTTCTTGTTAGATCTAGGTAGGCAGGGGTGCTATATACAATTCGTTTTGATTTTGTAATAAAAGTAAAGTCAAGTTAGGACAGTGTTTAGTAGAAATTTCTTTGAGAACCCGCAACCTGAAATTAGTTCATTTCTATTGTTGAGGGTAAACATTACAGGTTTACAAATTATAAACGTTAATTCTGATGATGTCGATAGTCAAGTTTCCTAGAAACCACAACAACAAGGCCCCACAAAAAATAATTATATGCAGAGAATTCCCTGGTCCAATTGACAGGCGTTCGAAAGAAAAGGAAAAAAGGCGCAAATTACTGCGAACCAACCTCGTTCCCAGGGTTCTCTCCTACCCGTCCCTACGAAGCGAGAGAGACTACGGTTAGGAGAGAAAACCAGGGAACGAGGTTGACTGCGAACGTGGTAGGACGCGAAGGACTCGCAAGGGAAGGAGAAGGAAGGCGAACGACACGTCCTAGCTCCTTCGTTAAACGTAGGCTAAGAAGTCAACTTAGGCGAATTTTTGCTGAATTGCTCGGTTCTTATCAGTCTGGGCTCTGTACACAAGAAGGAGAAGCCATGTCCATCACGTGCTTAGTTTTATTTCGCCCTCTCTACATAACCGGTAAAAGGGTGTCGATCAAAGCCTCTGGCCAAAAAGAAGGGACACCGTAATAAGTAGCGTAGGCGAGGGCTCATGTTGTCAATAAGACCACCATTTATAACCCTTTTTTTAAATTTCTTAACGATATAGGACAAAAACATAAAACTTCGACCCCGCCAGGATTCGAACCTGGAATCCCCTGATTCGTACGTAGTCAGATGCCTTATCCGTTGGGCCAAGGGGCCTTCTGTAATGGACGGGTCGGTTTTCAATCCCAAGTAACTCACTCTGGTTCGATATTACACTTTTTGCTCTTCATTAAAAGAAAATATAAAGTAATTTTATTTTCCAGGAATTCAATAACAAGAACATATCCACGAATTAATCTTCATTTTAATCATTCGTCGTTTCATTTGCGCAATGACCATGATGCTAATGCATCTTCAATAACACCACTGGAATGTCGTTTTCTTTATTTTACAGTGTATTATGTCTTTGAAAAACATGTACAACAATAACAGGTGTTAAAAAGGTATTTAAGTGGGTATACTTGAGTTATGACAG